CAGTTGAGGATTTCACCAGTTCAAGAAAGTTGGCAAGGTCTGTGTTTATCTCAAAGATGGGTTTGGATTAGATGTCAAATCCAACTCTCCAAAGTAGAACAAATTTGTTGGTCAAACAGAGCTACACTTTTGAACAGAAAAGTAGTGCAAAGAAGAAAGAACATACATCAGACAAGCACCTTTTTTCACTAATTTCTTCTGTAACAATATACAGAATTACACATTTCATGTGCCACTACTATCCTGCCATCACAGTGACTGACTCTTGTTAGCTGCATCCCCTTCCTCATCCTTCCCCCTTCTACACAAATCTTTTCTTTCTGACAGTCCATTCATAGAATCTGATAAAGTGGTTGTTCCCTGTGAAACTTTATGCCTCTCAACCAATAAGTCTCTAAGATACCACCCTGCCCTATCTTCTGCTTGACTTCAGACTAGCATAGCTAACTAGCTTTGTGCCAATAACATGAAGACAGCTCTTCCAAGAATGGTCCTTGATAAATCTGGAGGCCCTTATGGAGGTGAATTCCTCCCTAATAAATTTATAAATCTGTTACTTAAGTGAGTATCTATGAAAAATGCATATCAACCATTGTACTATTTGATTAAGCTTCAGTGGAAGGTAAAAGAGTGGTTCAGTCATTTTAATGGACATTACATTGGGTCCCACAGGAAGTAAGTACATCTGTCTAAGTTTCATAGATTCATAGATTCATAGATGTTAGGGCTGGATGGAACCTCAATAGATCATGGAGTCCGACTTCCTGCATAGGCAGGGAAGAGTGCTGGGTTCAGATGACCCCAGCCAGATGCCTATCTAACTTCCTCCTGAAGACCCACAGGGTAGGGGAGAGCACTACCTCCCTTGGGAGCCCATTCCAGATTTTGGCCACTCTAACTGTGAAGAAGTTCTTCCTAATGTCCAGTCTAAATCTGCTGTCTGCTAGCTTATGGCCATTATTTCTTGTGACCCCCAGGGGCACCTCACTAAAGTTAATTTAGTGAGATAAGTATTGAGCAAGTACCATTCACGAAAGGTCATAGATTATTGTTAAAAATGTGAATTGATCATTGAGACTAATAACATTGCCTTCTCATGGGTTCTGCATTCTGTGTATAAAAAGACCCTTTCTTTTATAAATAGTTTCTAGGAACTGATGACTAGCTTAATCAGCTGAGTAAGTTCAATGAAAACCTAATTTGCTCCACTCTACACATACCCCATACGGTGCTGTTGTTACTGTGCCGTCATTTAATACTTCCTTCCTTTAATACTGCCCATACTGCACCGTGGCAGCAGGGCATGGTTATTTTTAGTCATTACATCACTATAGCAATGTGCTACACTAAGGGAGTGCATTGCTACAGTGACATAGTGGCGGTGTTACGGGTTTTGCTCATGGATGCTATGTCACTGTAGCGCATTGCTACAGCGATGTAGCATCATGTGTAGACACACCCTGTATTCTTTGAAAGCCAGAGACTGTATATTTATTGATTACAACTTACAAAATCTGTGCAGGTCCCATGAGTGATCATCATTTTTCCCCCCTCCTCCCTACCGGTAGATAATTCTAAGTGGTTTAAATTTGGATTCATTTTCTTACATTTCTTCCATGGTACATTTGATATATTCCTAACGGAGAAGAAATGACTACTGACTATTCCATTATTATATTTTAAATGCTAATTAAATGAAAAAGGCTGGAAATTAACAGTGCTTTAAATGTGAAGAACTGTACTTGGTAAAAATCATTTTACTATGACAGCTAGATAAGCTGTTAGTTATTCTGACTGCCTAATAATAAATGGCTTTCCTTTTCCAATAAAATTAAAGACCTTGGTCATGATCTACACATCATCGTATACAAGATTCCCACTTCAATCAATTAGCATTCATGGAATAAATAGAATTAAATTAAAAATGTTACTACATCCACATACATTATATAATAGGCAAATATTTAATACTATTATGTGTGTGCAATGCAAAAGAATTGCATGAGAATACCATGAGAATCTGACTTATGTTGCAATAAGTAATTTTAATGGTATGTTATCAGGTTTTCTGCATTTTTAAAAAAAGGTTGGTTTTGAGGGAGAATAAAATGTTAGCTGCCTAGGCCTATTCCATTTAAGTGCTTTCAACAACGTCTAAAAACTTTGCATCCTGCCTGCAGTGAGCAAACCTGGAAGGTTTCATCTCCAGAGTAGATTATTTTTTTATCATTCTGTTCTTTATTGTTCCCCTCTTGTGCATATTTTCTTTGACAGTACACACTATTGTATCTAATAATAGTATATGGATTAGATATTTTTTTTAATGGATACTTCTTCAAGCCTAGTTGAAATGCTTTTCAACCCCACAGTGCACATTATCTTGCATGTCTGTATGAAGTTATTGTTCTTAATTTTGTCTCGGGTAATGAGGCTCCACCTGAGTAGCATGAGATGGATTATTTATAGGGACAATTTAACTGATGATAAGCACAGTTTACCAGCCAGTGCAGACAAGGACAAATTGAGTTTTGTCGCTTCAGAAACAAGGCGTACATCCTACAAGGAGATCAGACTGCCTAGCATCCTTTCTTCCTGTTAGTGTTTTACAATTGCTGAATCCTGTGCTGAACACAGTTTGAGTACTTATGTAGGTCCCATTTGCTGTAATATCTAAGTGTGACATTGCTCACTTTCATTGTATTTGCAATATATGAGTGTTAATTCTGAGTCTCAGAGCTATGTGATGTAGGGAAGTATGAATATCTTCGCTTTACAGATGACAAACTAAGCATAGAATTACTGTGACTTGCCCAGCAACACACAGTCTAGGACAGAGGGGAATTTAAACCGATATCTAATAGTAGGCTAGTGCTCTAACCATTGAACCATCCTTATTATAGGTCTAACACTTGCAATTAAATCATGCCTCTCATTAATTATGCTGTACCTGTTACTATCATAGTTAGTTTGGTATATTTTCTTCATTTGGACAAAGCCAGTATGTCAAATATAACTTTAAATTTGCAGGCAGAGCAGAAAGAGGAAGGTAATATGAGTGACAAAGCTTTCCAACTATTCCACTCCCAACAATAGCATTGATAAACAGACATCTGGGCAGGAATCATTTCCAGTGGAAAAAATCAATAACCTTATTGTTTCTTTTCTAATTTTTAAGTTGTAAGGAAAATGGAAGTTTAATTAGATTTATATTATATAGGGAATACAGAGCATTCAAGTAAAAATGTGTGAAACTTCTGGATTTTCAAAGGTGCTTTCCAATAGGTATGTTAACTGTTGTAGTTTAGAGGTTTTATAGATGGTGATTATATTACAATATCCAGGGATTGCATCAGAGTGACATCATAATGTATCTGATCTAAGGCTTGCGCTGTTGCTATCCCTATGTTCAGAGCAACAGTAGTAATAGTAAGAATGACATGCACTTAGGAAGAGGGGTGGTGCAACTTAATGTACTTAATGTAAGGATATACTAAAGTAGGTAGGGGACAAAACAGATGCAAAATGACCCACCATAAAAAAGACAAGACTGGTGTCAAAACAAACAGCAGCTCAGCAAAATCAAAAACTGATGCTCATAGGGTCAAAAGAAAAATTTCTACTACAGTGCTGTAAGTACTATATTAATACTTCTGTTGCTGCATATTTCTTGTCAATTGTTGTTTATCTCATTCTGTTATCTTTATATTTAATACATTTAAGTTGTCTATGATATAGTTTGATTTATATTTTTATTATAAGTTGTGCTATTTTACAAGCTCATAATATTTTTACAACAATGAGGCTCAGGGGGCAGGGGGAAGCCCGGATTGCAGGGGAAGGGATTCTTACCTTTCAGTCTTCCAGGTCCCTCCTGGCCTAAAGTGTAACTGCTCTAAACATGAGCTAGCACTAACATCAATCCACATTATGCGGCCCACGGTGTAAGATGCAACAAGGCCCTAATTGAGATAATACACTACACTCTGGTATCCTGGACAAAAGAGCAATGCCAGTTTACACAGGTTCAGGATTAGGCCTACAGGACAATATCTATATTACAGCAGTTTCTTTCCTGGTTATATAACCAGGGATAAGAACCATTTAAACAGTCTCTCATGTTCAGTACCATTCAGGTATCTGTCATAAGAGAGATTGGGTCTCAGGAGCATTCCTGGAAGATAGCATGAAGCAGTCAGAGAGAAACTAAACAGAACAAAACAGAAAGAGCTTTCTCTTATTCACTGTTTTTCTCTTCCTGTGTTCTTTGTTCCTAAAGTAACTTCTATTAACATCCATTGCAGGCAGAACAGGCCCCCTACCTCCGCAAGTTAATCGTAAAAGGGACCAGAGAAAATTAAATTTGTAAAGGCAGCCTTAATTCATGCTGTTGGCCAAAGACTGGGATTATATCATTTCCCCTTTTTGCCAAACATTCCCTCACCCTAATCTTGAAGTTCACTTGAAACAATTTAAAATCTTTATATTTATTACTTGCTATTATTATAATCAGTTTCTTATTCCTTAATTCCCTTTTAAGAGTAAAATCAAATTCCCTATTAACACACAGAGTCAGAGAGAATGGGTTTATATCTGTGAGGTATGTGGTAGAAAGACATGTAATCAGTCCTCCAATCTGGGTAAAAGGCAGCCCTGAGCCTCTTTTAATGCTGCTTCAACATAGTTTGTGCTGAAATCCCTTGTACAGAAGGAATGAAGAAGAAATGAAACCAAGGCATCAAACCAAGATTTCCACAATTCTTTTCAAACTTTATCTACTTGTCACAGTCTAGGTATTAGTATCCCCACTTTACAGATGTGTACATAGAAACACAAAATGCTGAGTTCAAAATGTGTGTTTATGACAAAATATACACCTAAGCATCTATTACTTTCTAAAGTGTAATTGTCAGATCTGGGGCAGAACTCTTAAAGCTGTGTTTTGGTAGCTGTTTTTTTGTTTTAGTTTGCCTCTTCCTCAGTTATTTGTAATTTTTTTGAAGGAGGCTTTTGGATACGGAAGATGAACTCTCTGACATCCAGTCCGATTCAGTCCCGCTGGAAGTACGGGACTGGCTGGCTTCTACCTTCACAAGGAAAATGGGGATGATGAAGAGGAGACCTGAAGAAAAGCCAAAATTCCGAAGCATTGTGCATGCTGTACAAGCTGGGATTTTTGTGGAAAGGTGAACATTATGATAACAAATAGTGAATGTAACACAGTGACAGTATGTGAGTTGAAGAGAATGCAACAGGGGATACAAGCTTAGATTTAAGCCTGAAATAAATCTTTGCAGAAGTTCAGATCTGTATTTGAACTTCAGCCTGGTCTATTCTTCTGGGGCATATCTGCAAGCTACAGCACGTTATAGAGATTCCCAAGCTAACTTTGAATGAGCTAATTCTGGTACTGGAAGCAGGACAGTTGCATGAGTGTGGTGCACTACACAGACTAAAACCCTGTTTCATTTCAGTTAGCTCAAGAGGAGTCTCAGTGTCGTGTGCTTACGCTTCTTTCAGTAATCCAGCTACCTCACGGGGAGCTATGTTAAGTACTTTTGGACAGTATAACAGTGCTGTGTACATCTAGCCTACAATGCTCTCTTTAGAAATCAGAATAAATCCCTAGATGCCAATTCTCTTAAGCTTTGGGAAGTTCTGAACCCAAACTTTGTAATTTGAACCCATGTACAGTTAGATATTCCAAAGACTCCACAAAGAAAGCAGTAGCGCTGGATCAGTTAAATTAGTTGTAGTAGATGCTCATATTGAAACAGACTAAATTGCATTTTCTTACACAAGCTAAGAATACTCACATACCCTACCTATAGGTTTCACATATTTAATTAGGAAGTAAACAAAGAATCTTTTGTTATAATACTTGTAGCAGTATTATATTACATCACATTAAGCCAAAACTGCTAACTACAGCAATTGCATAAAGAAGCAATGTTGATTATCCTAGCAATGTATTACTAGACCAGAAAATAACATGGAATTATAGGGTCTTCTTCCATGCTCATGAAATTATTTGAAAGGTTCCCATTAATTGAAATAATCTTTGGGACCAGGCCTTTTATTCACCAAATCTCAGAAATTTTGAAAAAGGAGTTGGAAAACAAAAGGGATCTAATAATGTTTTTTTTAAGTTAGCATGCTGAATATTACTGAAATATTTGATTTGCTCTTTTAGGATGTATCGAAGGACCTCTAACATGGTTGGTTTGGCTTACCCAGCAGATGTGATAGTAACATTTAAGGTGAAACAAGTTTAATTATAGTATAATTTGAACATGTTTGCCTTTGTGCTTAGTAATTAGGGTGTTTACTACATGGAACCATAGGAATGAATACACATAAGCAAGAAAAGCCATATTTAAATGTTCACAAATAGCATATAACTCCATTTACTATTTTTTCTGGTTAGCTATTGTGATTTAATTTAGATGTTGTTAGAGCAATATAACAATGAAATAGACAAATATTTCTATCAGCTTCCCCTGGCAATACAAGTCAGTATCTCAGAGAACAGTATGTTTTTCCTTTTTTGGGAAATAAAAAAGAAATCATGTTACCCTGGAATGGATAACAGAAGCAACAGCTCATGGGACAGTGATTTATAGTACAGAGTATTTGTTGTGGATATTTTTTAAGCATCATTGCACTTCACTCAAATAACAATTCCCAGCATTTGTGAAAATGCAGAAATACAAAATATCACTGAAAGTGGCAAAAAAGTTGTGCATAACCTGTTCTCCTAATAGTCAAACGTTGCTATTGTGTTATCATGTTTTCTATTATTATTTATGTAGCCTATGGAAAGGATTCCTGTGTTTCCAGGTAGCCCACTGAATTTTCTAGACAACTCATATTAGTAAATTCAGTTAGTTTATATTAGTTAACTTATTTTAGTAAATTCAGCTTAACTGAAAGATTAGTGCCTGTGAATGTAATCGTACAAAACAATAACAGCTCTGGATCCATGTAATGATGCTAATAACTTTCCTAATTATGTTCATATTTAATATTAGAAGAGTCATTAACATAAGTAACAATAAATGAAACCTTTGACTATGGAGAATTATATATTGCTTTAAACATTCCCTGTGATTATCTGGGAACCTTTGCAGGCATATGAAAATCTTCTTTTCTTTTTTCTTTTTTCTCCATCTTACAGGAAGTTGATAAATGGTCATTTGATGTGTTTGCCCTAAATGAAGCAAGTGGAGAGCACAGTCTGAAATTTATGATGTATGAGCTGTTTACTCGATATGACCTTATGAGCCGTTTCAAGGTCAGAAGCTTCAAATAAAACTCAAATATAAATTAAGAATGACAAGTCCAATCAATGAAAAATCAGGATATATTTGAAATTATATTTCATTGTACAAATGAAGTACAGCATAGCAAAACTTAAGGGACATCACAAACAGGAAATCCTGTTATATAAGTGTAATAATAATAATAAAGTTACACCAAATGTCACTTTACCTATAGCCATACAAATATTGCCTTATTGCTGACAGAGTCTGAAAGCATAGAAGATTCAGGCCTATTCAGTTTTTGGAGGAGAGGTGTCTACTGAAATGCTAAGTGTTATAGTCATATATAGGTGACTAAAGTTTATACCGTTTTCTGAGTTACTGCTGAATCAATATTCTAAGGCTGAGGTAGGAGGTTCTGTGGTTCCAGAGTTACCCTCTCCCCAATCAGAAATGAAACAATCATCTCAAGCTTTATTTCAATAATATATATAAGTGTTTTGCCATATAATTCTTCACTTCCTGTCCTTAACAGTTTTGATGGTATATTGTTAAACACCTGGCACATCCAACTCCAAAGGAAGCTGCATTTCAGTATTATCTGAAAGGCAAGGCTCATATAATATTTGTCCACTATATATTTGACTCTATAATATTTGTAAAGCACTTTGGTGTACTATCAAATTACACAGGCATGTACTATCAAAGTATACAATATCTTATTATTTATTATCATTCTCGTACTGTACAAGAATTTCACTATCATTATGGAAACCAGTTTTCAGTTTATCATCAAAACAGTATGAATATTGTCCCTAGGGAAATGCATTACTTAACTATATTGAAAAAATACCAGGCCAGATTGTATCTGTAATTCATAGCAATGAGCATGAGGAGTAAGGGTTTTGTACTGCTGCTTGACACTATAAACTAAAGGTACTATATATAGATATAGATATATAGCTATATATCTATATATAGAGATATAAGTACATATACTCTGTGTGTGTGTGTGTGTGTGTTTGTGTATACACACACACACACACATACACAATATATATCTATATATAGCGTATATATCTGTATATAGCTATATATATATGTATATCTCCTGGATATTTATATTTTATATGTCCTGGATATTTTATATATACATACACACACATATATACAGAGAACACCCTTGGTGTGTGACAGTTTGTAACTCTAACCTGGGTTAGATGTGCATCATTACATCTGACCTCAGGTCTGGAAATAAAGATCAGTCCTCTTGTAGACTCCTGTGTATCATACCTTCAATATGATTAATCAATTGTGGGCATATCCACTATTCTTCCTTTCCTTTCCCACTTCCCATTTCCTATTCTCCCTTATACGCTTGTCCTATGTTACACGTAGTGGAGGCAAAGTGTTGATACCACTAGGAGGAACAGAAGGAGTAAATCACTTCCTGGAATGGAAAAGGGACTACATTCCAGTCCTTTAATCATCATCTTTCATCACCTTAGTATTTGTGAACTGAAACCTAAGAGTTATGCAGTGTATTAACTTGTGTTTTATTTATTGCACATTTGACTAGTTACTGAGAAAGAAACATGATTCATTATTTTTTTTCTTATTTCTCACAGATCCCTGTCCCCAGTCTCATTTCATTTGCAGAAGCTCTGGAGGTTGGCTACAGCAAGTACAAAAATCCTTACCATAATTTGATCCATGCAGCTGATGTTACTCAAACTGTGCATTACATAATGCTTCATACCGGTATCATGGTAAGAAATAACACAAAATTCAGCCACAATCAAACTCACTACTGTATAGTTATAAACACCCATTTATGCAGACCTGCTGGTCCTGATTGGTATACATAATTTTCAAGGAGGATTTATGTGGAATTGGGCCCACATCAGTTTCAGATTCTGGCTTTCTCTGTAATAGTTCCACTAGACTGACAAATATAATTACATCCAGACTTGGGGACAGATCCAACTGAGAATTTACTTCAATTTCAGGATTTGGTGTTTGGTTAATTCTTCACATAGGTTTGAACTGCAGACACGATACAAACCTAGATTATGATTTGGTGTGCAAATCCCACATCTCATCTGATGGGATTATTTTCTAAGGAAACAATAGTATAAATTGGAAGTAAATACTGTGCTTTTGGAGAAAATGGGCTATTAATCTTCCTTCCATTTTAGGATTCAGCATAATAAAGTTCGGTGTAATATTCAGTATGCAGCAGATGACTCTTACTGAGCTGAGTTTTAAGCAAAAAGAATTGAGAGTCTTAATTTAGTATTTCCTTGGCTTCAGCAGCCTCTGAAAGAGAACAAAGCATCACAGAGACCTAGGGGGGATTCACTTGCATGAAAGGGCAGGTGGTGTTTCCTTCACTACCTCTGGGGTTTCAACAATTGGAGCAGCTTAATTCTACTGAGGACTTCACCAGTGAGTAGTATACCAAATTAGTCCATCCCTTGGAAGCACTAGTCTTGCTGTGTCCTTCTCTTCAGCCAACTCATGCCTATTTGGAGGGTTGCACTGGGCAGGTTATGGGGCTTGCATCAGAAAAATTACAGTTGTTTTGCACCGTTGCAGTGTACCACCACTTTGAAGAGTGAAACAGATATGAGCAAGCATCTTCATTCTAAATGCTTATAATACGGAGTTTTGCTTAATCCAGGTGCTAACAATCTCTGCATTACCAGTATGTTAGTCCTGACTCCATTCAGGGGACATATTTTGTCTCTGTCAGTCATCTAGCACTACGGAAGAAAGAGACTTGGGGGTCATCATTGACCACAAGATGAACATGAGCCTGCAATGCGATGCTGCGGCTAGTAAAGCGAGCAAAACGCTGGCTTGCATCCATAGATGCTTCTCCAGCAAATCCCAGGACATCATTCTCCCATTGTACTCGGCCTTGGTGAGGCCGCAGCTGGAGTACTGCCTCCAGTTTTGGGTCCCACAATTCAAAACGGATGTGGAGAAGCTTAAGAGAGTCCAGAGAAGAGCCACGCGCATGATCAGAGGTCAGGAAAACAGACCTTATGACGACGGGCTGAGAGCTATGGGGCTCTTTAGCCTGAAAAAACGCAGGCTCAGGGGTGATCTGATGGCCGCCTATAAATTTATCAGGGGTGACCACCAGTATCTGGGGGAACGTTTGTTCACCAGAGTGCCCCAAGGGATGACAAGGTCGAACAGTTATAAACTCCTGCAAGACCGTTTCAGGCTGGACATAAGGAAGAATTTCTTTACTGTCCGAGCCCCCAAGGTCTGGAATAGCCTGCCATCGGAGGTGGTCAAGCACCTACATTGAACACCTTCAAGAGTAAATTGGATGCTTATCTTGCTGGGATCCTATGACACCAGCTGACTTTCTGCCCTTCAGGCAGGGGGCTGGACTCGATGATCTTCCGAGGTCCCTTCCAGCCCTAATGGCTATAAAATCTATGAAAACTTTCAGGAAGCAAAGAAAGAGGAGGAAAATGATAAAAATAAACAAATGATTTATGTTTTTTTAAGCCACTAGCATATAAAATGGTCTCATAAAATTGGTGTTTATTTTTAAGCTTAAAGCTGACTCTAGGGGTTAGGCCCTGATAGACACCTTGTGGAACACACAAAGTCACTGGAGTAAAGTTGTATAGTGGTGCATCATCTTTCCCCACTGAATTTATGAGACCTTTATCATTGACTTTTATCATTAAGTTCAAAGACACTTTACAACTGGGTCCTAGGGTTCCAGATGATCTCTTATTTCCTTTCCAACAAAATGTATCACATTTCAGGTGTTTACTTATAAGACAGTGAATTTTTATGCTTAGTGGTGTTTACTAAGTGGTTTCATATTCTGCTGTCCATCTAAAACAAAAATTCCCACCAGTATGATTAGGAATTTTGCTTGATCAAGAATTTTAGGAGGAAGTCTGAGTGCTTATTTACTATATATGTGTGAAAAAAACTAACACTCTTGCTAAGATAGCCCCAAACCAAAGTTTTCCTAATAGAAATTTGAATCAGGCCTGCAGAATTCAATGATTTACACAGTGTGTGTCACTGAACGTGAGCAGAAGAAAGTATTCAGTATATCATCTGAATTTGGGTATTGATGATTCACACTTCAAATTGGAAACATAAAGGTATTTCTTGTACTAGATAACGTCATTAAAATTTGTGCAGCCTAAACAATGCAATTTTGTAAAATTAGCCCAGTTGAAATATATGAATTATATTGTATGGTTCCTGGAAAATATTATTACTTTTACTGGGACAGCAACTAGCCAAATGTGTCTTCAAAATGATACAGACTGCTAAGCAAAAGAAAGAATCTCTGCTGATCATCAGTACTTGGAAAACAGCCTAACTATATCACTGGCCTGCGGTGTATCAATATCTATAGAACAACCCTCAGTCCTTGGAGTTTGATGATGCAATGCAAAAAAACCCTATATTTGTTTCCTATTGTTTTGCTGCTTAGTTAGCTTGCAGCCTTGTATCAGCTCAGTGACAGTGATGTGCTGCTCTGTTCAGAGGCTAATTGCTTTCAGAATACATATCCCTTGTAATGTCTTTTTTGCCACTGTCATTCTCTTTGACACGTCTGGAATATTTCATTTGTTGTAGTTCTGTAACAAGTGCCCCCAGCAGTCTGATAGGTTCAAACCTGCCATTTGTAGTTTCTCTATATCTTCTCTATAGCTTATGGAACGGAAAACTCCAAACCTTACAAACACTGAATACTTTCTTTCACTTTTTATTTCCCTAGGCCAAGGATTAAAGCAAAAACAGAATAAAATTAGGTTTTAGAAACTTCCCCCAGGTTTTTAAAAACTTCTCCCAGTCAAATCTGTGATACTGAATAAGTACAATTTGTACCCACCCTTTTTAGACATGTGGAGAACTGCTGTGTTGGACAGCTAAGATTAGATGGTCAGAGCTCTCATTCTTCAACTTCTGTATTTATTGAGTGGATTCCCCCACCCCCTTGTTCCCCCCTCCGGATCCTTAAAGTTGTGAAAATCAGGAAATTATTTTTTTTCAGACTAGCATTAATCCACCCAGACTAAGTACACAATGGAACCTTGTTATCCAGATTCTTCAATGAACAGAGAAGCTGCAAACAATTATATTTCAAATAACAGATAAAATCTCTCACTCGTCTGGCATGTCTCAAATGGCACTGAATTCCCATCCAAAGTCAGAACTAACAAATCCAGCCAGGTGTCTGTTATATAGAAAATCAAAGAGTATAAACAATAGACAATTTATTAGCCTTTAGCATTCCATTAAACCACTGTAATTGAGATGAAAACCCAAAAGACATTACTAGGACAGATAACCCAGGACAACATTTAGGAAATTTCAGTAATGCCAGGGATTAGAGTATCTAATTCCCCAAAACATGTTCATGTGTAATGCAGGAAAATTTTGCACGGATGATACAGTGATTTCCCCCCGCCTCTTTTTTTGTCAAAAGCGCAAAGTCAGTACACAACATACCCCACCCCTCAATAGATGTATTTGGATAATTCTTTTTTTTTTCCTCATATATCATTTCACCATTTGTTTTTTCAACTGGAAGTGGTGAAAAGTAGAGGTATGATGAAGTTATCTTTCCTGCCCCAGCCATTATTCGTGCCTCATTTAAAGGCAGGCAGATTTTGTTATTGTTCGGCAGTGAGATAAAGGACCACAGTTGTTTCCTGATTTGAATGTTGACTGAAAAATTGACTCTGACTTGACAAATAACTACAATATTTACTGTCATACAGTACAACACAAAATACCCCCATGGACCATAGAAAAGCTTTGCAAAAAACTCTCTTCTAATTATAGATGGATTTTCTAGCAAGTATTTTTGTTTTTTAATAATTGATATTTGGAAAAGAAAAGAATGTTTTGTGTTTAGCTTTAGTTATTAATAATTTTGGGATTTCTATTTCAGTTGTTCTACTGAAAGCATTGTGTATGTCAGTCTTAGTTCATGGCCTGTTTTTTTTAACACAAAATAGTATGGAGGTCACTGGTTCCGTTTTTAGAACTGCTTATAGTATTTCCTTATTCCTCAGTTGTATTTTTTATAATTTCACTTTGCTTCTCCAACTAGACCGTACTCTCTGTTCCTCAACATTCTGACATGCACATATTTTGTTTCAACATGCCCTACTTTTTTCTTCTCGTTGCACTAGTGAATCTTGACTGGTTGTTTTCATCTTCATGAAGCAGTCTGTGATACTCATGCCTAGGCAGCTCATAAAATGGCAATTGTATCTTGCATGATATGAACCATAAGGCCACATCCCAGTAGCAAAAAAAAATTTAAAAAGGAGTAAGAGTGGTGCAATGCACGCACAACAAGTGTGCGCCAGCACACATGAAGGCCAGACCATCCAGAGCCATGCTCTGGCTCCTGGTCAGGCGTCTGTGCTGCCTGACTTTTGTCTCTGCTGCTCCAAGCCACCAGGTAAGACTGGTGGGGCCAGCACCAGTGCTGGCCTTGGCCTCCAGCTCTCTCCGGCTGAAGAGAGCTGGGCAAGAGCAGTTTGCCTGTTGCGGGACAATTTGTCCTGCAACGAAGCATGTGTGCAGCGGCACGCACCTCGGCAATTTGTGCTGCTGTAAATGCATGCCCCCAATGTCTGGAGTGTCCTAATTGTACATAATTGTGTGTATCAATATGTGTGTCTACATTGCTATGAGAGACCTTTTCAAAAGCTTTAATGTAGAATATCACTTTGAGGGAAATATAAATACAAGAAACCTACATTTGGCAAAATTAGTTGTATAAATTATGCTTATTATTAGATTTTTGCTGCCTTTCTTTTGTTTTAGTTAGTATAAGAGTGATGTTTTAGCCATGCTAGTCCAGACATTATGCAAGAGGCAAGGATTTGTTAGGGTGATATCTTTTATTGGACCAGCTTTGTGATTGCTATAAAGTTAGACACACTTTTGAATGCAAGACATACTTCCTTAGGTCACTTAAGGAGCACATAAAACGTTTGTCATAATGCATAAATAGTGTATCAACCATACCTCCATTGCATATAAAAACGGTCTTTATTAAAATTATATCTTTAAAAGTAGAGGTATATGTTCCATTATTTTTCTCTTTTTAGCCAAAAACAACATGGTGGAAAGTGCAGGTGTGCAGCTCCCAACTGTAACTTATGGTGATTCACAGGAAGTACCATGAGTTACAGTGATTCCCCTAACCCAGCAAACGTTCTCTGTTGGGTCCAGGGTATTGGGGGATCAAGCTCCAGTATGGATCCGACTCCATGTCTGCAGCCTCTTTCCCCTAGCCCAAGGTGGGCTCCAATCTACCTTTGCCCCACTCCACCACAGACTGGGCAAACCCCAGAATAAACCTCCTTCCCCTCCCTCCCTTCCTCTCCTTCCATCCTGAAGAGAGCACCAAGGGTGGGGCTGGGCTGCATCAGCCCAGTCCTGCTCCCAGTGCACACTGATAGAAGTTAACAAAGGTGCTCCACTTTGGAGCGCCTTTATCTGAACCGTTATATAATGAGGGTTCAATTATCTCATGATTGACTTCTTTTAAAGTACTCTGCAGCTGTGCACTTCTGTCATGGCACAGCTGTAGAGTGCTCTCAGAGGGCTGATCGTGTGACAATAGTCACTTCTGTCAGCATCCTTCATGTGAAACAGGAGTGGAGGGGAATGGTGGAGGTGGGGGGGAATGAACAAACAAACAAACAAATAAAAAACATTAACCCTCTAAATATTGCAGAACTGGGAAAGCTTATGTTTACTGCTGATATACTACTTTGGGCCATTATCCTGATGGTCAAAATATTCCTTGAATAGGAAACTACGATTGTAACTTAATATCTCATCATTAATTTAATAGGAGCCAATCATGGAAGCAGAAAATTTATCCACAAAATTTATTGCAAAAGCTTCTCAGAAAAATGAAATTTACTAAGCTTTTTTTTATCTACAAAGCTTAAAGGACCCATTCTGGTCCCACTGAAGTCAATACAAGCAGAGAGAGATGAATCTGGAGTACAATATTTAACAGAATTCAAGATTCATTTTATGACCCCCAATAGGAAAAGTGGAATGAGAATCACCTAAATTACATGTGAAAACATGTTCAGTGCCATAATATTTAGTCACAGTTGGGTTATTATACATATTATGACTTAGTTTTACTTTTATTCACTAGCACTGGCTCACAGAACTGGAAATCTTAGCAATGATTTTTGCGGCTGCAGTCCATGATTATGAGCATACTGGGACCACAAACAATTTTCACATTCAGACAAGGTAAGCACACTGCACCGCCTAAGAACCTGCCTGAATGCAGCTGCTGCAGCGCAATCTAAAATAAAAAGGGAGAAAAAAAGAAAGCAGTATTTAATGGCTTAGGTCATGTTTGCTTGATGTACTGATGGCTTTGGGTCAGAATATTAAGGTTCAGTGCTGTCAGCTGTGGTCAAGAGATTACCTAAGCACGTGATAAAAAGGCATGTGAAGAATTTCTTGGCATTCATTCTGTAGGAAATACTTCACCCTGGCTACAATGTCTCTAAAGGTGGCTGCTTAGCTCTAAAAATGGATGGTTCTGCTTTCTAAATGTTTCAAACTTTTAACTGATAGAAATAGGTCACTTCTGCAACCTTTGCTTGCCCAAGTCATACTTGCTCATGTGAATAGTAGCCTCCTTGACTTTGGTAAAGTTAATGTGACCACTTGCATGAACAAGGTCAGTGCATGAGAATAGGGGTCACATGATAGGCCTCGTATCTCTTAACACGAAATCCTTCAGTTTGGCTGCTCATTGATGTCTGAGCGGGTCATTGCAAAGTGCTTGGAACACTGACTTAAAAGGATGTCAGTCATGCAGAACACTTCTGAGCATTTTCTCTTTGCATTACCCTTTATATTCTTTCCCTTTACTTACAGTATTTCTGACTTTGGACTTTCTTTCACTGGCATCCACAAGCAACTTTGTGTAGCCCTCCATACCCCTCCTTAAATGCCACTTTTCTACCAACAGTGTCTCCATGCCTACTTGAGCTGTTGGTTTTTGTTTCATATTTGAGTGGAAGCTCCTGGCAACACCCAGGGGAGATTTCCAAAGGCATGAATGGCAGTTGGGCCCCTTGAAAAGCTCCTCTAGGGTCCTATCTTAGTCTATTTTAAGAATACCCATAGTACTTACAGCGCACTGGTGAAAAGCAGACTGGATTAAAGCCAGAATTTCTGTAATCTACTCCAAGCACAGGCACTGCCTTGCTAT